GGGGGCACTGTGGGCACGCCGCGCTACTGAGAGTGGCAGGCACGAAATCTTGGCATGGACTCACGTGGCCCGCCGAGGGCATGGAACCTGCTGGGCTTCATCATTCAGGCGGGCTGGCCTGCTCCCTGCGCCACGGCTGCGAAGACCTGCGACGGCAGCGCCTGCACTCCCCCCCCCCTCCCGAGGTCGCCACTGCCGCCCGCCTGCCCTGAGGGCCCAAAGATCTGGCGCTCGAGATCTTCGCCGAGGGCCACGTTCAGGGCTGCAACATTTGGGATCTGCTGCGGGAGCGGGCCAGTCGGCGGCGGCGGGTCCGTCGGCGGCGGCGGCGCCACTGGGGGAGCCGTCAGCGGCGGCGGCGGAGGGGCCATGATGGCCGCTGGCGGGGCCCCGACAGGCGGCGGCGGCGGGCCCTGGCTGCCGCGCCCCCCCCCCCGCTGGAGGGGCACTGGCGGCGCGGACGGGGGCGGCGCGCGGGGCGACCCCTGTGCCACCCCCGCCGCCCGTGAGGCCGGCCTCCCGCAGGTTGTGGCGGCGCTCGTAGAGGGCCAGCTCCCTGTACGCCATCTCCAGGCGTTCCCTCTTGGCCTTATTATTCGATATCTTGCTGTAGCCCGCCCACTCTGGGTCGTTCAGTCCCCAGGCGACCTGCGCGCACAGGTCGGTCCACTTGAACTCGGTCAGGCTCTCCTAGGAGAGCCCCTCCATCAGCACATAGTGGCCCTCCCACTGCGGCTGGTGCGGAGCGTAGCGCTTGAAGACGGCGCCCACTGCCAGCGGCTCGACCTTAGGCAGGTACTGCAGGAGGCCCACCGCGCTGAACACAGGCATCTCCTCCATCTTGAGCTCGTCGTAGCGCAGCAGGGCCTTCAAGTCGCGGATGTCCTCCTCAGGGTGTTCCGCGTGCATGTAGTACGCACGTGGAGGGTTCAGCTCCTCCTCTATCAACTCGATGCAGACGCCGTAGGAGGTCGAGTAGCGCGCACCACAGTGGCAGTACCAGCGCTGGCCCGTCTCCCCCGCCGCCTCCTGCGCGCAGGTGAGCAGCTGCGTCCAGCGATCCGATCGGATCACCGAGCAGCATCCCCTGGGGTTGTCCCAGGTCTTGTTGGCCGAGCACTTGTAGTACATGTTGAACGTGAAGCCCTTGCCACGGTAGAACTGGTCTGTGTAGTCGCCCATGCGTCGGTAGGCCTCCTGCGCCGCGGCGTTGCCCTGGCACTCCTCCCTCCAGGCACGTTTGCGTCCCAGGTGTGCGTCCGCGATCCCCGAGGCTTCCAGGACGCCCTTCTTCAGCCTTCCCACATCCTCCTCTGCCTCCTCATTCAGCGCGTCGAGCCACTTCTGGGCTCCGTCCTGCGCCTCTGTGCCCCTCACCATGTCCTCCTTCTTCTCCAGGATGGGCCCCAGGCCTCCCAGCACGTGGGCGCGCATGGTCTCGAATTTGCGGACGCCGCAGGCCCGCGCCATACGCTTCAGCGATTTCTTGGAGAGGCCGAGCCGCAGCAGGGGCACGATGTCAGTGACCTCTTCCACGGTCTTGACGTCGGTCAGCTGGTGCTCCTGGTCCTCAGCATCGATGTCGGGCTGGGGGTCGTTCTCCTGGTCACGGGGAGGCCCATCCTCGAGGGGTGGGGGTGGCGCACGGGGCGGCCCCGGCGCCACCCCCACCTCCCTCGCCATCGGGCGACCGACCTCCTCCGCCACCGCTTCCGCGGCTGGGGGGGCACCCGTGCTCTCGGGATCGATGCCCACCCCTACGCCCTCCGTTGACCTCCGCAGGGCAAGCAAGCCTTCCTCGGAGAGCGCGAAACCCACCAGCACGTCCATGCCCTCCTTGATGTAGTCGAAGCTCGCACGGAACTTCGCCACTCGCTTGGCGGCGTGGTCGATGGAGCCTGCGCCATTGTTCAGACGCGCTGCGCGCGTCACGGCCACCTGCTCGGTGATGTTCTGCGTCGTCGCCACGCAGCGCGAGCACGTGTACAGCTTGTACTGCCCCTCTTTGCCCCTCCGCAACGCGGGGTGCTTCTGGTTGCGCTCTGAAGCCTCAGCGTAGCGGCGCATCTCCCCACAACTGAGCTCGTCCACGTACTCCACCATCATGATCTTCCAGTCGTCCAGCTCTGTGCACACCCGACACCAGCCCAGGCGCTGCGGCGGGACCCAGTACGCACCCATGCAGTGGACGTAGCCCGCCTCGGCGTAGTCCTCCTCCGCCATCATCTCGGCGTCTTCGAGCGCGGCAAGTGTGCCGCCGCTCGGCTGGGGGGCCTGGCCGTAGACGGCCTTGTTGCTGCGTCGGCGGTGGCGTTTGCCTCCATGACCGCTGAGGGCGCCCGTGGTCGCTGCACTCGGGGCCTCACTGGCGGCCCCATCGTCCACGGAGCGACCGCCGTCGGCGTCGCTGCGCGCACCTCGGCCGCCGCGGCCGCCCACGGCCTGCTCCCTCAGCTGGAGGTTGTGGAGCGCGAGGGTGGTCGCGTCCAACCCACGGCGCTGCTCCGTGGTGAAGTTGGCGTAGGTGGCTGCCGCTGCCAGGGCGGCCGTCGTCACTGGCACCACCGCCGACGTGGGCATCGCTGAGGCCTCAGCGGACGCCTCAGCCGTCGCCGTGGGGCCTCCGTCCGAGGCGCCATCGGAGGCAGCGGCACTGGGGCGGCCCCCGTACCGCCGCCTCCGTCGGCGTCCTCGGCAGGCGTCACTGATCCCGTGGGCAGTGTCGGCGCCGTCCGAAAGGTCGCCGCCTCGGACATCATGTCGAACCCCTCGTCTTCGCTCTCCGACACGCTCACCTGCTGGCCAGGGCGCTGCACAGGCCCTGCTTTGGAAGTGGGCGCGTCAGCCGCGGTAGCACCGCTGGCCTTCGCGCGGGCCTCAGCCTTCGCCTTAGCTTTCGCTGCCAAAGCCTCGCGACGAGGCGCCGCATCGTGGCTGGGCGAGTCGGCGCGCGTCTTGGCAGGCCACGGCATCGGCGCGGGCTTCGAGAACTTGGGCGCCATCACTTGGTCGGAAGGACGGCACGGGAGATGCAGCTCGAGAGATTGCGCGAGACAAGACCTCACGAGCCAAACAGCTGCCGAGGAAGAGAGGGGAGGGGGAGAGGCTGCACACGGAAACAAAATGGGGCGGCCGACCGCCAAGGCGGGACAAAGGTAAAACATGAAGACTAAAGGCTGAAACCAACGGCTCCAGGCGCGTGGGAACCGAAACTTGTGCAGGCGGAAAACGGCCTGACCCCCGTTCGGGACCCTGGACGGGCAGGAGAGGGGAAAGGGGGGCAAGGAAACCACGTCGCGGGCGAGCGACAAAGCGGACGGCGGGCCGCCGACGGCCCCAGGACCCGCGGGGCGGCCCCGATCTTGAACGCCTCTTGACGCCAGTTTAGCCAGTGGTCTCGAACAGGCGCTGTTGGCGGCATGAAGGCTCAGCACGAGTGGGTTGAGAGAGCAGCCCCAGACAGAAACAGAGAGCGCAACAAATATGGCAAGGCGGGAGCACGACGCGCACAAGGCAGGGTTGCTACACAACGCGGCGTGCAGAACAGACATGACAAAGCAAGAGCGCATCATGCACGCTACAAAGGAACTGAACAGCACCGTGCACACTGCAGATGTGACTAACTTTTTACGACTGATCAGGGCAGCAGGAAGGCGAGGAGGAAGGGGGGGGGTCAGGGAGCGCACGCAAATGGGATGGAGCCACATCTAGTCAGGACCGGACGCTCGGGGCGGCCCCCGCATCCAGCCCGACGACGTCCTCTGTCGCCAGGGCGACCTGCTCAGCGATTTGGCCCTGCAGGGCGTTGGCCACTGCCGAGCGCATGGATGAGCGTGCCGCGGGCCGTTCGGCCTCGGGCAATTCCCCCACGGCACGGCGCAGCCACGTCTCAGCTTCTGCGCCCCAGCGGCCGTTGACATCGAGGACAAAGGGTACCAGGCCAGAAAATGGGTACCTACGGTGCTTCACTTTCTCTCTGCGCTGCAGGGCTGCCCGATGCGGCCGCCCCGTCTGGGCCACGACCACCTCGTCCACCAAGCTGATGTCGAGACAAACTCGGCCATGGATGCCTCGATGGTAGACGACGTCCAGCGTGGCCGCGCCCTGTTCTTCCGTGTGCCACTCTGAGATGACCTGCTCCACCACGGCGTGGTGGCCCACCCCGCGCAACCAGAGCGCCACGGCATCTCGGATGGCGTTGTGGCGGCGCGTCGGGCCGCCTCCCCTGGGACAGTTGAGCGCGTGAACGCCTCGGACGTCCACCGCGTCCACGCGCCGGGCCGACCTGCGCCATCGCGCAGGTGGGCGCTGCCGGTCGGTTCTGGCACGTGCACTCGGACTGCAGCTTGGCCGCAATGCAGAACGCGTGGTCGGCGAGGGGCGAGACCCCCTCGAAGTTATCCAACCGGGCGCCGCTGAGCTGCCCGAGGCACAGTGCACCGCCGCCGCCGCCGTCACCGGCAGCGCGGCCAAGAACGTCTTGGTGGCGTGGTCCCGCACGTGCTGGGTGTACGTCTTCTGGCCCTTGCCCTTCCGCCCCTCCAGAAGGCCCTGCCAACGGTCACTCTGGGGGCGACGGCCTCCTGCCAGCCGCCCCTGCTCCTCGTCCGCTGCCGAGAGGGCACGGCCAAGACCCGGCCACCTCCGAAAGAGGCCGATCGTTGTCGTCTCTCGGAGCTCCTGGGCAGCCGCGTGGATCCCGGCTTCCCAGGACGCCAGGAGGGCAGCGGGGCCGCGCTGTTCGGCACTGCCGCAGCCCAGGCCTCCGTCGCTGAGCTCCATGAAGATCTGCTCACGGGGGGCGGCCGTGACCCCCAGAAGGGCGTTGACGAAGGCGACCACTCCGCCATCCACCCTGCGGCCCCACGCCGCCGCGAGCGGGAGCGCCCGCTGGATG